CTGTTTTTTTTTTTGGCATATTTGTTGTCATCTCTATATCTATATAATATACTCTCTAATAAATTCTAATGGGAGTTTCTTGGTATCTTCCAAAGTGTAATCACCTCTCAACTTTATAAAAGTTTTTTTCCCTATTTTATGAAATTATTTCAGGAAACAAGTTTCCATAGAATGCACTCATAAGATACTAACGTTATCAGTGATGACAAAGCCCTATACGTATCACACAGACCAATTAAGATACTACGTTATCAGTGATGACAAAGCCCTATACGTATCACACAGACCAATTAAGATACTACGTTATCAGTGATGACAAAGCCCTATACGTATCACACAGACCAATTAAGATACTACGTTATCAGTGATGACAAAGCCCTATACGTATCACACAGACCAATTAAGATACTACGTTATCAGTGATGACAAAGCCCTATACGTATCACACAGACCAATGGTTTCAGCTGCTACCACCTTTAGGTAAGTACTAAGAAGGATACTGTGTGTGGTGGTAATTACCATCTAATAATTAGATAAATGGCCACCATATGATGATAAATGTTTATTTATTTTGCATAATTCTGAATAATTAGTTTATAAAAATATTTAAAAAAATTAATTACATAAGAATATATACAAAAACAACTATATCTTTTTTCTAGTATTTCACAAAAACATTCTTTGTGTATATTTTATCATAACCTGTGTATGTCTGTGATATTTTATACTTCTACTAGTTGCACAAGATTACATAATTAAAATGCAACATTAATTTAATAAAAACAAAAATTAGCGGAAGGACCTCTACAACATGTTTAAATCTGTGGAAAGTTAACCTCAAATACAAATTAAACTTAATGACATTTGTCATATTTTAATAGTGTATGCACATATTCAAACTATATGTGCGTACATTTATGTAAAATTTTAAGGTTGATATGAAAAATTAAAGAAGGTTTCCCAAGTGTAGGCATTTGCACATGAATTTTTTTATCATAATGTTATCAAGAAATAGATTATGCTCAACATCACATATTAAATTGAAAAAAAACAAAAGGATCAGTAACTAATTAATAATTACCGTTAACTGATTGTATAGACTACTAACTATGACGACAAATGAAATAGTCAATTTGAAAGTTAGATATCAAAATTACTAGTCACGTTTAAATGCTGACCTTTCTATTCGCACTGAATGCATTACTCCATCGTTTATTTTCTCTAACGACCGGATTTCTGCTGGACCACTGCCAAGTTCATAACTACAAAAAAATAGCAACACATCGACACTATTAGAAGCCACCTTAATATCCAACTACACAGTTTTAATAATTTATCTGAACACCCGATTCTGTCTAGTTTCACATAGAAAGTATAATAAAAATCAGAATAATTAATGTTGAAAAACTAACCTGAGTTCAAGGAACCCATCAACTACGCCAATAACTAAATAGTCTCGGCCTTTTCCTTCTGTTTTAGGATTTTGTCCATGAAAAAATATTAAACCACTGTCTTCACTGGTAGTGAAACTGAACTGAATGATTTCAGTTGTCAATATTGAAGTATGTGGTAGGAGCTGTCTGTCAAAAACCAGGTAGCTGTGATCTTGAAATGCAGCGATGTCATCAAATGTAACCACTGGAAAATATGAAATAATAAAATTATTTAATACTTCTATTTTCTAAGTGTTATTACAGCAGAAAATATCAATAACAGCAAGTGTAGCCATATGATGAATCAATCCATTCTAGACATTGTAATATTTTGGTTTAGAACACTACATATTCATGAAATGCTATTGCAAATTAGCTCAATTATTTATTGTGTTAATTGTAATTTCTGATCCACAAAGGTAGTTTACTTTCATCAATAGTTAGTTGTAATATGAAAAGTTTCTTTAAAAAATAAAAACAATGTGAAAGTTCAAGTTACAACTAGAAACAAGCAATAAGTTTACTTTAAACAATATTTATGTGTGGAATGGAAAATATTACTTCTTTTTACAAAGACCCACTTAACAAAAACTCATCATTCTTAAATATTCAGTGGTGAATTTCAATATACATTTTTTTTAAAATTTGAACAGTGATAAATGAATGCCAAATATCATAAGAGTCAAATGAATTATATACAGTCATGGTTACAACCGCTGAGGGTAAATCATAAAACATGAACATAGTGAATGTGGTGGAATACAAAGGATCAAGTGATTCACTATACTCCTGTCTTTTACTCATTACCTAATAATCTCCTGTGCTCCATTCTTGTACTTGTGACCCAATAACCCTCTGTATATGCTTATTCTTGTGACCCCTGTAATCATGATATAATAAATTTCTGTATTTTACTCAGCTATTTGCTTGTACTTCTGACCCAGTATTCTTTGCTGCTTTTACTTCTGGCCATTAATGTCTTACCATATTAATTACTGTAGTTATGGAGTTTTGAATATAATTCACCTAACTCACTGCTTACATTGACACCATACTTGTGTCTTATACTCATGACCCAATAAGCCTCTCTTATACTCATGACCCAATAAGCCTCAGTGATTGAGTATGGTGAATCACTGAGGCTTATTGGGTCATGAGTATAAGACACAAGTATGGTGAATCACTGAGGCTTATTGGGTCATGAGTATAGTAAAGCATAGAGGGTTACTGAATCATAAGTAAAAAGATGCGAGTATTGTGAAGTGCAGATGGTTATTAAATCAAGAGTGAATCTGATAAAGTATAGAGAGTTTAGAGTCATGAGTGTAAGCAGTGGTTCTTAACTAAAGTCATTTAATGATGAACATTAAGTGATGTAAATAGCTAAGTTAAAAGTGAGTGTAGTTAAGCATCAGATGTTATTAGGTAAAGAGCACAAAGCAATTGGTATGTACGAGTTGATAAAATATATAGGGCTACATTGTTACAAGACTGTTGTGAAGGTTATTTATGACTAATGGTAGCAATTTGCATATCTAATAATCTTACCTCTGACCATCCCCTTGACTACACAAGTTAAAAACTCTGACTCTTGCTGAAACTACAGTTGAAGTGTGATGATTTGCAACTGTAGTAGAGATTAAAATTGAACTGACTTTTTCTGGGCATTAAATAACAGGAATTTCAAAGCTCACCAATTATACAATTATAAGAGCATGCATGATATGAAAGTTTAGAACTTTTGAAGAGAGATACACTAGTTTCACCAAACTTTTACAGTAAAGCAAGAGAAGACCAAGTTAACTGCCACAAGGGAAAGCATCAAGGAGATTCAATAGTTTGTTAATATAAGTAACCCCAAAACAGCAAATGAAGCAGGAACCAGAGTAAGAGATACCAAAGCCATATCTATAAACTTCTCCCAGCGCACACAGCTGAACAGAAGGAAAACTGTTGAAAGCTTTTAAAGAATTATCTGGAATTTGAAAAACTCAAATATGTTGCCACATTGGGAGAAACAT